TTTTTTTTTTTGCTGTTCTTATTGTTGTTGTTGTTGTTGTTGCTGCTGCTGCTTCTGCTATTAAACATCGATAAGTTAAAGCAGAAAAAAAAAACAAAAACTATTTCAGTATTCCGGCATTCTTTCTTTTTTTCTGCTTATATCTATGAATTTTGTGTGTGTGTGTGTGTATTTGTATTTTGTTCGGTTTAGATTTGAAGTGAAAAAAAAAAAATAAATAAATAAAAACGATATCGTACAACACCATCAATCTGGTCGAATTAAAAGATGTAACGTTTTGCTTTTCATTTCAGAAGTTTTTGCAAGAATAATCCACATGAGAGGAGGACTCAGTCACAGAATCTCACCATTCTTCTTTTGATACTGATGCAAGGAACAAGACAGAAAAGTAAGAAATTTTCAAATAGCAAAAGAAGAAGAAACATATTAAAAAACAAAAAAAAATTTTCTTCTTACTATTCACTAAAAATTGATTTTAGGTAATTTGTTAACGAATTTGTCAATGATAATGCAAAGATAAAAAAAAAAAGAACCTTCTCTTTTTTTTTGTATGTGTAATACTTCAATTTATTAATTCATCATTTTGGTCTTCTTCTGTTTTCTTCAATTTTTTTCTCGTTTTTTTTTTTTTTTTTAACTTTATTTAAGTTTTCTTTTTCATTACATCTTTGTTGCTATTGCTGCTTATGCTACTGTTTTTGTAGTAGTAATTCGGTCTACGATTAGATTACGCATTGATCAGTGGGTAATATAATCATTAAACAGCAAACAGTTCAGAAATGACCAACAGCAGCAGTATCAACCAATAATTCTATTGATATCAATCAGCTAATATACAGAACTGTACAATAGTTTTTTAAACAGATAATATGCAAATTTTATTGATGTAATTAAGCAGTGATATTTGCAGTGTTGGATGTCGAACAATGTTCATCTGTTGTTACACAGTATAATAGAATGGTGCCAAAAAAAATCAAATCTAATGTCGCCAATTTTTGTACAGTAAACTGGTGCTGTATTGGTGAACAGTCGATGGAATAATCAAACCGAATGTAAATTGGTGGAAAAAAACGAAAAAACAAAAAACAAAAAACGAAAACGTGAAAGAAAAATAAAAAAGGGACCTATAAAAAGAAGTGTGGAAAATAGATAAAGAATAAAAAAAAAATTTTGAGGAAAAAT